ATGCGCGAGAACAAGTTGTACGCGAACCTGAAGAAGTGTATCTTCTGCGCGCCGGAGATTCCGGTGCTGGGCTGCTTCGTGGGCAAGGACGGCGTTCGCGCCGACCCGGAGAAGGTGTCCTCTATCTGCGCATGGCCGACACCAAAGAACCCCACTGAGTTGCGTCAGTGGTTGGGGCTAGCAAATTATCTCCACCAGTACACGAGGATTTACGCCCGGATTGATCCAGCCCCTCTCATCACTCCTGAAGAAGATGCCACATGGGTCTGGTCACCCGCGCACCAAGCCGCCTTCGACTCAGTGAAGAAGAGCCTCGCTGAGGCGCCGATCCTAGCTCTTCCCGACGACTCGAAACCATATCACGTCGTTTGCGACGCGAGCGACTTTGCCATCGGCTGTGCGCTGATGCAGTTTGACGACGAAGGACGTGAACGGGTCGTCAGCTATCAGTCTCGACAGATGAAGCCAGCGGAGCGCAACTATCCTGTCCACGACAAGGAGCTTCTCGCGATGCGCTACGCTCTGATTAAATTCAGAGTGTACTTACTCGGCGAGCAAACCTTCGCAGTGTATACCGATCACGCATCGCTGAGGACAGCGATGAAGAGCCCTCATCTTTCCCAGCGAATGGCTCGCTGGTTGTCGTTCTTCTCCGAGTATAATTTCGTGGTTCACTACAAACCCGGCAAGAACAACATCCTTGCAGATGCTCTGTCTCGTCGTCCAGATTACGACCCACGCGATTCGCTGGGTCGACAACCGCTGCATGATGAAGACGACGAAGACAACTGTGCTATGTGCTTGGCGTCGGGATTGAACCTGACGAGCGTGTCTTCAGAAACCCCACTCCGCGACGAAATCCGGACTGCGTATGAATTCGATCCGGTCTATTCGAGTATTCTGGAACATCTCCGCTCGCCCAGTGAAAAGACACTGAGTGCTTTGTCCCGCTCCACACGCCATCAGATCGATAGGTATCGGATTGAAGACGGGCTGTTAACGTACAGCATCGATCGCTTCGATGCTTCGCGTGTAGTGGTTCCCAACGACCCTGACTTGCGCTCGCGGATCATCCACGAGTTCCACGATATCCCCCTTGGCGCTCACTTGGGCCGTGAGAAGACATTCGCCGCAGTGTCGCGCGACTTTTACTGGCCCCACATGTATAAGTGGGTGCGCAAGTGGGTGAGGACCTGCGAGATCTGCCAACGCGTGAAACCGTCCGCGTCATCGCAGGCTCCCCTGCGTCCCTTACCAGTGGCCACCGAGGCATGGCGCTCGGTGTCGATGGACTTCGTCTTTGGCCTCCCACCCGACTCCGCCGGGCGCTCCGGTGTCCTGGTATTCGTCGACAGGTTCAGCAAGATGGTTCACCTCATCCCGGTCCCGGATACGATCACCGCGACCGATACCGCGGTGCACTTCGTGGATGCAGTCTTCCGTCATCATGGCATGCCCGAGTCCATTGTTTCGGACCGCGATCCGCGGTTCACGTCTGCTTTCTGGACGAAGCTCTTCGAGCTATCAGGGACAAAGCTGCTGATGTCGACGGCCGCTCATCCGGAGACGGATGGCCAAACCGAGCGAGTTAATCGCGTCCTTGAGGACGTACTTCGCAGCTATGCGACGTCGTTTACGAGCTGGAGCTCGTTCCTTCCGCTTGCTGAGTTCGCGCTGAACAACGCGGTTCACGCGTCGACGTCAACATCGCTCGGCACCCTCGCGTTCCAGCTCTCCTCGCCGTGGGCCGTCCCACGGCGCCGTGTGGCTCCACTCTGGGTGGGGGTGAAAGAGGCGACAACCACTTTGTGACAACTCCGGTTTTGAACCCACAACCGGTTACCATACCGGTTGCCGACAAGCCTTCTACGCCAACACCGGTAATGGACCCTCAACCGGTTTCCATACCGGTTGCCGACTTCTCCTCGAGTGCAGCCTTATCTTCAGCGACTGTTAACGCAGTGACACACGCCCAGGCCAGGAAGGCCCTGACGACTCCCCGCGACGCAGTGTCCCCTCTCGCCTCGTGGACGAATCGTGCCCTGATCAGTCCTGGCACCGCTAACGCGGTGTCTCCATCAGCGAACTACGCGCCAAAGCAACCCGGCACATCCGGCTGATAACACCGCTGTCTCAGACTTCGTCCTCCAGCGTCGAGCAGTCGCACGATACGTACGCGACGCGCCGCAGACGGCGGTCGACAAGCAGTAGGAAATCGCGGACAAGCCAACCGCAAACACACTGTGTCGTTCGGACAGGAGATCGAGTGCTACTGTCGACTTCAGGAATCAGAGACTCTGCCGTCACCAACCTCGGCGCGAGTAAACTCGCACCGCGCTTTATTGGGCCATTTACGGTGACTTACGTTATTGGCGAGGCTTACACACTGGATATCCCCACGTCGCTGCGACTACATCCGACGTTCTACGTCGGACGACTCAAGCAATACCTGTTCGCTACGATCCTTCTTCGACTCAGTCTCCTGAGCCGCCGGCGCATATAGCGGCCGTCCCGCCCGACGCGCGCGCCGAGCCATCGCGCCATTCACACCAGGCGCCTGCTCCACCGTTCCGCTCTGCAGACTACCATGTACCGCGCGCTCAAGAAGCCTCACGCGCGCCAAGAGTTCCCGATTCGACTGACGAGTCTCAGTCGCAGCCCTCACGGCCTTTGCAGCCGCGTCCTGGGCCTCCTCCGCCTCCTGATACGCCGTCCAGAAGCTCCCCGCGAGATCTTCCTCGCGGCTCCCAACCAGAACGTCAGTCGTATCAGCGGGACGGTTCCCCGCCGATTGTCGACTCAGCTGGCGAGATCCGCTGGATAGTCGAGAAGATTGTCGATCACAAAGACCCGCCCCGTCGGTCGGGGCAGCGCCATGTGTCCACCAGTCGCACGGCTCTCGCCGCGCGCCGCTATAGGGTACGATGGCTTGGCTTTCCGGCGGACCAAGATACGTGGGAGCCCCGCGCAAATCTCCTTCGCGATGTCCCGGATGTGATCCAAGAGTACGACTCCAGTCTTCCTGCGCCGGAGAGCGCCGCGAATAATCACGCGGCGGCCGAGAACGAGATCGCCAGTCTGCACGACCACGCGAACGTGATCGAGAACGACGCTGCTGGCGATCGCGCGAGCGCGACCGAGAACGACGACCCCAGTTTTCGTAATCCAACGGAGCGGCGGAGATGCGCTTCGTCGAGATGAGTGGCGGCGCGAGCCGGCGCGACTACCGCGCTGGCCTTTTCGGACAGCGAGCGACGGTAACGCTGGATCCAGGCATTCTCGCGATCACTGAGCGGATGCTCGGCGACATGGGCTTTCCACTCGTCCGTAGTCGGGCGAGACGACACACACCTCCTGCAGCCTTCAGCAACTCGCACGTAGCAGATGCGGTCGTCGGCGTTCCAAGCGCTGTCGCAGATTCGTACGCGCAGCTCGCCCAAGGAATGGCCCCCGATGATTTCTTCCCAGTATGCGATCCAGTCGACGAGATACTCTTCCTGCGCTTGCGTCCGGTTCCAGCGCCGGATGAAGGCGCACCACGACTCCTGTAGCGCACTGTGGTCGACAACGTCCACCGGCTTCTGGCGCAGCGCACGAAAACGCCGGAA